TATTAGATGAAGAGATTGCTAAATCTAAAAGCTTGAAAATTTATACAAGTAATAGTTCGTTAAATAATCTTGATTGTGACTCTTTTTTCTAAATGTTAACAAAGGTGAATAAAAATTTCATTATTAACTAATTGGAAATTATAACAATATTTTAACTAATTAATTAATAAACATTAAATTTTAGTAATAATAGTAAACAAAAGAATTGATGAATGACTAATTTAATCTCCAATATAAATTTATTCATTATAATCATTTATCTTTTATCTCATTTCTTAAAGCCAAATAATAAACTTTTTACATTTTTTTATTCTTGTTAAATGGTGATATTTTGAGTATCATTTTGGTTAATACTGGGTTATTTAACAAGCATGGCAGATTATGGCTTACTTTTGGCTACTCTTGTTTGTTGTTAATTGCAAATAATTCAGTGTTTGTCAATTAATTAGTTTACAAATTTACTTTATATTTACAGCCTTATATTTACAATAATACTGCCAGTATTTTCAATTGGTTATTGGACGACACTTCATTAACACACTAGTTAACCAACGTTAGTCCTAACCTTGCTTGTAAATAACATGTGGCCCTTACCAAAGCTCCACAATTGTTACCTTTTACCGAGGCACTGCACCTGTTCCTTTTATCAAAGTGCTTTAAACAAAGAAAATAAAGACAACGATTTTATTTTCAAAAGTTTATCAAAGGTAACAAAAATAATGATTTTATCAGAGTTTTGTTTTTCTCTGCTTGGACCCAAAGTTTATTCCCAATAAAGGTTAAGTAACTTGATCAATCAATCAATATTTCATTTGATAATAATTATGTTGGTCTGCACTAAAATTAGTTGACCCTGGAACTTAAAGTACTCGATGATTTTATCTACCCCAACCATGTATCACGTTATTAATATTAATAGTAGTAAATGGGTTGTAATTGTGTTCAACAAAAGAAAAATTTAGCTACGACTGATGAAACAAAGGAAAGATTGGAATTGAGTAGGAGACCTTGGAATATTTTATTATTAGCCTTTTGAAGCAATTTTACTTACGTCGAGTGTTTTTACTTGCGTCATTTTTGACTTAATGGCGGTGAATTTGACGTCAAACAACACTAGCAGCAGTCATAACTATCTGCGGCCGCTGTATTTGTTTGCGGAAACCGCATCTATTTGCGGCGTCCGTAAATATTTTACAATGATAATTACCCAATGGTAGTTATATACTATTGCCGTAAATAACCAATTACGGCAGGTGTATTTAGATTTAGGTGAAAATAATAATATTTTCTCTAAAAAATTGACATTAATTCTTTCATCTTTATAATTATTATATGTGATAAAATATACAATTCTTGGTGGATAGAGTTGTTATTAGCGATTAAGGTCTTCCTTTTTATTGGTAGTGATCAGAGCCTTGATTATTGGTGCCAAAAACTGAACTTTGAGAGAATGAAAGAATGGGAAATATTATAATTCATCACACAATGTCATTTTTTAATTTTTAATTGTATCATAACCTTTGACAAACTATGCCTCGCGTCACGACGTCACAAACTATGTCTTGCATCGTCACTACATTATTGCTTTAGAAAACTCTAGCCTTCATATGATTATTACTGGGACGTGTTGGTTAATAATACTATATGTCAAAATTTTCTTTATTTACCATTCAACAAAATTTTTATTGTAGATATTTATTTTTTACTATTTTGTTAATGTAGTTATGTTGTATGTGAAATTGAAATTATGTGAAATTGAAATATTATGGAATGGGGTGAAATTCTGATTGGCTAATTTGAATTTCACACATGTAAATTTGAATTTCACATATGTGAATTGCGAATTCACATAATTTCATTTTCACTTACAACAGTTACATATACAAATAAATTTTTTTGATTATTTATCCAATTGGCAAGTAAGAAAATCTTGATTATTTTTTTAAATATAGCTTGGTAAAAAAACATATTGTATTCTATTTAATTAGAAGATTCCTTTCAATTAATTGGATCAATACTATCATTTATTATTATTCAAAATAAACAACGAACAAATACATAATCTCGTAAAATATTATTTGCTGACCGTTTGGGTCATATGATTTTATAGTATTGTAACATTGCGACACCAAAAATATTTATTGTCTCCAAAAAAATAGAGATGATCAACAATCAGGGGAAAATTTAATACACTACTACTACATTCATTCGCGCGGATTGTTAAATTTGACTTTCTGCGAATTAGCCATTTTATTATTATTATTAATTAATGATCCGTCTATTTTCAAGATCAATCAAATATTAAATATATAATTAAAAAGTTTATTTTATTGCAATTTTCTCCAAGAATCAAATCAATATTTTATTTTATTGATATGACTGATTCTTTCAACAACAACAGCACCAATATCACAACGGAATTTCTTTCACAACCACTTGAAGAATTAAACAGTCTACTCGATAATAATGATGAATGGCAATTTGACAACAAGTGCGTGACATCACGCATTGGTTCTCTTAGAAATTTATTGCGACAACTTTCTTCCATGGAAAAATCTATACAATTCCAATTTATCAATAAATTAATAGATTTTGCAGAGGAAAATGATATTAACAAATGGATATTGTTTAAAGCCAACATCACTCACAAATTGCTAACCACTGTAATTTGGAAGACAAGTCAAAGAAATGAAGTTGTTGAAATTACAATGAAACTATTAGAAATCATTTGTTCATTTTCTGTCAAAGTTTCAGATATCAAGTTAATATTAAATATGATTTGTAATAAAAATATTGAAATTGAAGATAATAACAATAGTCAACAAGAAAATTCTAGTAGTAGATGGTATCAAGGTTCTTTATTAAAATTTTTGAATTCAATTGCTCAAAAACAGAATACTTCCAATTACACTACTTTGGATTTCTTTTACTTTAAAGGAGGAATTGATTCTGGCATTAGATTATCAAGAATTGAAAATTTTCCTATAAATGGTTATTCCTTTTTCACTTGGATAAAATTGGATTCTCATTCAAATTCAAAAGCCTTTAATAACAAAAATATTAAAAATAATGATTATTCTCCACGATTATTTTCATTCTTCAAAGAAAATGGTGATGGAATTGAAGCATACTTTGATAAAAACAAATTATCAATTCAATCTAAAAAAGGCACCAAGGTTAAAACAATTACTGTGAAAAATTTTATTTTTGCACAGAACAAATTGTACTTTGTTACTATTGTGCATCATCCCTCAAAAAAAGGATGGACTACAACACCTGCTGAACTATTAATAGTTATAAATGGAGATAGTTGTTTTGAATATCATTTAGAATATCCAACAACAAATTCTTCTTCTACTACTGCTACTCATTCATTTAACTGTTGTGCCATAGGTGCTTCTTTAGACATTGGCTCTTTACAAAATGTTGATCTTTCTAATAAATCTAGATCATTTAATACCAACAATAACAATAACAACAACAATCTTTGTAATGGTTTTAGAGGTCAAATGACTACAATTTATATGATATCAGATACCCTAAACAAAGAGCAAATAAAGATACTATATGAACTTGGTCCAAATAATGCTTCTCAATTCGAACATAAGGAATCAACTACAAATTCAACAACAACAACAACAACAACAACAACAACAACAACAACAACAATAATGCCTGCTGAAAAATTATTTAGTGGAATTTTTTACAATCAAAAAATCCTATTTAGTTTTAATGTTAAAGCTTCTTCATCAAAAGATCAAAGTTGTTATAATTTAGCATCTACAAATTTAATAGAGGCTAAAATGTTTGGAGTTGAAAAATGTTCTACACTAAGTATACAGAATGCGATACAATGTCTAGGTGATATAGAGATCCTATTTCCTATTATCATGCAGTTTGACAATCTAAATTCCATTGCTTTTCAAGCAATAGACGAATTACAAGATGATTTTTTCTCCTTTGAAGGCCCATGTAGAGTTTTTTTTGTCCTTTTAACATCACTATTACAAAACAATCCAAAAAGTCAAAATCACATCATAAAAAATCAAGGCATCAAGGTCCTTAGTCTACTACTTCAACAAATTGGTCCAAGACACTTTTCTATATCATCTTTTAAAAGTATGCTTACACTGGCAAGCACACTAGAATCATCCAATGAAACTCTTGTAAATGAAGTTTATAAGCATTTAATATTCGAATTTAGATTGTGGATGTATGCAACTGTTGATATACAAAAGTATTGTATTGAATTTTTGAAAAATTTTATTGATGCCAGAAAACAAATGTGTCGAGATCTATTTGGTATTCAATTTTTTTTGGATGTCCTTCAAAATGTTTATTGGTATAGGCAAACTTACATCTCTGTACCACACAGACACCTTGCATCAGGTACTAATAGACCAAAAACATCTCAAGTTAAAGAACTTCGTGGAATGATTGTTAGCATTATTCTTGGTTATTTCAAAGATGAAATTAAAAAGGATGAGGTTTTGGTTATTTTTAGAAATTTATTGGTTAATGATGATGATGCACACATTGTTGAAATTTTAAATATGATTTTGACTTTATTACAAAAAAACAATTCAAATAGAGATATGATTGATATTATCTCATCTTATGGTGGATTTGAATTTCTGTGTGAAATGTTGAAACGAAGAGATGAAAATGTTCGTTTGAATTCTATCAGAATAATCACATATTTAATTTCTTGCCCTTTGACTCCAATTCAACTTGTAAAGAAGCTTAGATTTGAAGGGTCGGGTATTAACAATCTATTAAAGTTAATGGATGGTGAATCATTAACCATTAATATTTATTATGCATTGTTGGATTGGGCATCTGAAAATTTTAATTTGGCTAAAGTGACATGTGAAAAGGAACTTGAATCATCATCACCATCCACCACAACCGCCTCCATGATGAAAATGATCCAAGTTAAAAATTTTCAAATAATTCTCTTGATTTTGGCATTACTAAACTCTGAGGGCACAAAAAGAAATGACAAATGTAGAATTCTTAAAGACTTGATAGAAATATTTACACTTAATATTTCATATTGTACAGAAATAAATAATGATTATTTATGGCTTTGGCAAAAATATCTCATCCGACTTATGCCTGTATTTGGCAACCAAGAAGGTATTCTAGCACAAAAGGAAAATAAAGTTACTTCAGATTGGGCTTTAGAATTTTTAGCAATTATTATATGGAATCTTTTTGAGGTCAATCGTGATGGCTATCGAGTTGCTGAAGAAACTATAATCTATTTATGGACAAGTGATAGACAAGATTCTTTAGAAACAATTCGTTCTTTATTAATACAACTTTTGACATTAACCACTAAAGAATGTAAAAATTCAATTGGTGGTTCTTTTTCCATTAAAAAATTGGTATTTATAATTTTTTTTTGTAAACAAGAATTAATATTATTTTTTTTGGTTTTATTAAATAATAATTATATTTATATAGGAAAATGTGATGTATTTAATATCCTTAACTGAAGAAATGATTTTTAATCATAAAGATTTAATTCAGACATTAATCCAAAAACAAAATTCATCTGTACAAAAAAGTGATAATTCTCCATCAGGAAGTTATTCTTCTTCACTTAAATCTATATATGGTAAAAATCTATTTATTGATAATATATATATATATATTTTTATATATATGCACATTATCTTAAAACTTTTGAATTTTTTAAGTAATCAGTTTACCAGTGTTTAATAAATTTTTAAAATTCACTAATACAATAATTAGAATCTACATTTACTTCACAGAAACATGATGATATGATCTTTCAAAGTCCAAGTAATCCATGGGAAGATAATAAGACTTTAGCTCAATTGTATTTTGATGTTGTTGATATGCTAGATACAGCTGGGAATTGGAGAATGGATTTACCAAGTAATAAAAATGGAACAATGGTAAAAAATTTAAAAAATTTTTTTGTATAATTTATTATTATCATCATCATCATTATTATTATTTAATTAAAAAATTAAATTTATAAAGCAACCTGGTGATTTATGTAGAATGGTAATGAGAATTTTAGTTGCTGGTATTACAATCTCAGATCAAGAATTACGTGAAAAATGTATTAATCAATTAGTGGAATTTCTTAAAAGACATGTAAGATTACTACCTGATTCAATTTCTACTACTGGTGGTGTTAATGATGATGCCACAACAACAACAGATAAAAAAATTTTGGGAGAATTTTATTGTCATGATAGTGATATTTTTCAACAACTTATTTTCTTACTTTTGGGTGAAATTCATGATGCGTTTAAGTTTGTATTTAAAAAAATTTTTTTTTATAAAATAACAATAATCTAAATAATGATAATAATAATATAAACAATCTAATATATATTAACAGTGCATCAAAGATGACAAATGGTGATTATGATTATAAAATAACGGTATTATATTATTTTGCTATATACAAATGCCGCAATTATCTAACTCTTCTTAGTGGTGATGATAATCCGATTTTTGATGAAGTTTTTGAATCCATATGGTCAGGATCAAAATTAAATATTCCTATCTTTACAAAATTTGTTGAATCGCTTAATTGGATGGTAATACTTGATAAGTATGCAGTCCAAGCAATGAGAGATGCAGTTGATGTTGAATTTTCAACGGTAAAACGTATGTTAGCACATTTTACGAAAAAATTAGATATGTTCCTACATCGCTCGAGAAAAGAAGAATCAGTAATACTTAAGCTGGAGGAGATTTTTGACAAAAATTTAAATCTGATCATCAAATCTTATCAAGATGAGGAAATTTCTCATCTAAATAGTCTTGAAATTGAAAAGAAAAATGATTATATCAGGACTTCAAGAAGATGGTTATCCAAGTTTCATGAATTGACTCAAGAACGTGGTGTCTGGTCAATAGGAGGGAATAAAACTGCTGCTGATATCCATTGGAAACTTGACAAAAAAGAAAATTATTCAAGAATGAGGCGAAAGCTTACAACCAATTATGATTATGATCCGCATCTTGAAGCAAGTGCAAAAAGAAATAAAATGCATAAATTAAACAGCAACAATAATAATTCATCAGCATCTCAAAATAAAATCAAAAATATTCAAAGATTAAGAAGGGCATCATCATCATCTAATGATAATAAATTTGGATATAATCCACCACCATTTTTGAATTCAATTGAACCATTAGCAGATGGTAATTGGGCTTTTAATATAACTTCTTTAATCTCTGAATCTGATATCACAGAAGAATCAGAGGATCAAGAATGGAATATTGTCGTGGGTGATGATGTAGTTGATGTTTTTGACCTATCATCTGATAAATTTATATTTAAAGCAGATTGTGAACTAATAATACAGTTATCTGCCATCAAAGGTCATTTAGAACTTACTACTACTCATTTATCATTCATATTGGATCATCAAGATTTGTTGGAACAACTCAACAATATTGAACAAGGCTCTATCATTCTAGATAGTGAGATGCTACTAGACAAAAAATGGCCTATTTCAGATATACGAGAGATTCATATGAGAAAATACCTTTTGAGAAATAGTGCTCTCGAATTGTTTCTTACAGATCAAACCAACTATTTTTTTAATTTCTCAAATCCAAAAGATAGAAAAGCCCTTCATTCAAAAATAATATCATTTCATCCACCCTCAATGATCAATCAAGATACTCACGATCCCATCATGATGTTTTCAAGGTCAAATTTGACAGGACGTTGGCAAAGGCATGAAATTTCCAATTTTGAATATTTGATGCATCTGAATAGTTTTGCCGGAAGGTCTTACAATGATTTGTCACAATATTTTGTATTTCCATGGATTTTGTGTGATTATGAGTCGGATACATTAGATTTGTCTAACCCCAAAATTTATAGAGACTTGTCTAAACCAATAGGAGCTGTTAACCCCACAAGACTGGAACAATTTGTTGAGCGGTATGAGTCCTTTTATGATCCTTCTGGACGTATAAAGCAATTTCATTATGGAACACATTATTCAAGTGCAGCAACAGTGGCTTGTTATCTAATTCGTTTAGAACCATTCACATCTATAAATATTTCATTACAAGGAGGAAAATTTGATCATGCTGATAGACAATTCCATTCTATCCAAGGAGCTTGGAAAGCTTGTTTAAATTCTAGTGGTGATGTCAGAGAATTGATTCCAGAATTTTTCTATCTTCCAGAATTTTTGGTAAATCATAATAAATTTGATCTTGGAGTTCGACAAGATGGTGTATCGGTAGATGATGTTAAATTGCCAAAATGGGCAAAATCCCCTGAAGATTTTATTCGTAAGCATCGAGAAGCATTAGAGTCTGACTATGTATCAAAAAATTTACATCATTGGATAGGTAAATTAATTGTTTGTTTATTTTTTTTAGAAAACATGCTAAAATATTAAGATTATTATTACCAGTATTAATCAATCAATTAATAAAAATATAGATTTGATTTTTGGATATAAACAAACTGGAGAAGAAGCTGTTAAAGCATATAATGTGTTTTATTATTTAACATATGAAGGTGCTATTAACATTGAAAGTATTCAAGATCCGATTGAAAGAAAAAGTATTGAACAACAAATTTATCATTTTGGTCAGACACCCACTCAACTTCTCAAAGAACCACATCCCAAACGACTTCCTAGTAAAAAAATTTTGAAAAAAAAAAAATTGTTGAATTCCTTAGATTGTCAGAAATATTTCTCATTGAAATCTAATCAATTAGTTTTTGTTGATTTGCCATTGCCTGACTCTATAAACTTTTCTGCAATTGATTTGCAACAAATTATCACTGTTGATGAAAATGGATTAGTTGGTAAACATAATCTTTTGCCTGAACCAACGGCTCCAGAAATAAAAAGATTTGAAGTAGATCCTGGCTTACAGTATAAAAGGTTAGTAGTAAATATCCATATAAATTTGGAAAGATAATTTTTTTAAAAAATTTATTTTTTGCAATCTTTAGTCAATTGGGTAGTCCATTTTCTTTTGATGTAAAAATTACACCAAGAAGTTTTGCGTGTAGTAAAGATGGGAAAGTTCTTATAAGTTGTGGACATTGGGATAATTCAATAAAAGTTACATTGACAGAGACAGGAAAGATTAATGACAGCATATCAGGACATAATGATATCCTTTATTGTCGTTGTTGTTATGCCGCTATTATAATTAGTATAATAATTAAGAATTAAATTAAAAATCCAAAATATTATTTCTTAACCACTTTGTACATACTGTAACAACTGTAGGGATCAGTGAAGATGGAAGAATTGTTGTTACAGGTTCAAGGTCTCCTGATTTGTTATCTTGGAAGATCAATATGACTGATGATTTTGAATTTTTAAATATTGAACATACACCCATGCATTCATATTATGGCCATGATGACGAGGTACATTTAAATTAATAAATTTAATATAATGCGGTGAAATGGAATTCTTAATATTTTCAATTATATTAATCAAATTTATTGATTTTGTTTTTAGATTACCTGTATTGTTGTTAATGCAGAACATGACATATTGATAAGTGGATCAAAAGTTAATATTACTTTAATAGTTGTATTTATGAATCGTTTGTCTTATCTTCCAGCAATTAGATTTAGATTTAAACTTTGATTCTTTTTTTTTAAAAAAAAAAGGATGGAACATGTATCATTCATTCATTAAGAAATGCAAATTACATACGAACATTATGTCCATTTGAAGATGAGGAATCATCTGTTGAATATGTATGCATAACCAAAGATGCTAACATAGTCATATATACAGAATATAAAGTGAGTGTTTGATATATATGTGTATTTGTTTTGTTTATTTTATGATACTACTAACTAAATTTAAATATTTTTTTTAGAATGAATATTTTCTTCATACTTATAGTATCAACGGAAAACTTTTAAATTCAATGGAACTTTCTGCTAAAATAGAACATATGATTTCTTCAACTGAAAGCAATTCAATAGTTACAACAACCGATGGAGAAGATGGAGAAGATGAAAAAAGTTTTATTAGAATATATGATGTTTTAAGGTTGGTTTTTTTTAAAAAAAAATAACCTATTTAACTAAATCTTTTTTATATTTAGTCAATTGATTGGTTGATAAATATTTTTATATATAAATATTTAAAGCCTAGAGTTACGTCATGAATTCACAGTTCCATTAATTGCAAATTGTCTTAAATTAAGTAATAATGATATGCAAATATGGATAGCAGGAAATAATGGCAAATTATTAATAGTTTCCGATAACGATTATTCAATAAGTTAAAAAACTCTTAAAGTATAATAGATATATATTTTCTAATTATATTTTACATTTTTAATGTATTTTTTTTTATTTATTAAAAATCAATTATTTAATTTTTAATTGGAAATTGGATATCTGGCGCAGCAATTTGATTATTTATCATGATGAATATAGGAAAATTTCCACTGATTTATAAAAGAATATTCTTTAATGCAAATAATCTAAATAATAAAAATAGAATAATTAAACCCTCCCAATTTGTAATGAAAAGTAATCTGTCTCAAGATGAATATCATCAACTATCAGAAGAGACCATGGAAAAATTATATGAAAATTTGGAAAGTCTAGGAGAAGAAATAAATATCAATGATTATGACGTTGAATATTCTGTAAGTCTAAAATTATTGCTTTTTCAATGATTCAATCCAATCCAATTCTATTTCATTTCAATCCAATTCTATTCTCTTCTATTCTATTCAGAGCGGTGTATTAACATTAAAGTGCGGCTCAACAGGCACATACGTTATAAATAAACAACCTCCTAATAAACAAATCTGGTTGTCATCACCAGTTAGGTTGGTTTAGATTTAAAATAAATATCAATTTTTTTCTATAAAAATTTTTTCATATTCTAAATTAGTATCTTTGTGCAATTGGAAAATTCAGTGGGCCAAAACGTTATGATTATGATTTCAAAGATGAAAAGTGGATTTATCATCATGAAAATTCAACCTTGGATGAATTATTAAATAACGAATTATCACAAATTTTCAAGAAAGATGTAAAATTATCTTTTTGAAAAGTAAATTTTATAAATTTATTATATCTTTCTTTTTACATTTTACAAAGTTCAAATGATTGTATTTTCTATTTCCTATATTCCTAAGCCTAAGCCTAAGCTACTTGTTCAAAAAATTATCACTTTGAAAAAGGGTTGAATTTATATTTCATTTTTTACTACTATTATTAATGATTATTATAAGGTGTCTTCCACACTGCAAAAATTTTTTAGTAATATTAGATTATTTCTATAAAAATTTTATAGTGATGTCCATTTTTTATTCCATTCATTTATTTAATTTATTGGAAAAATAATTATATATAAATTCGTAGCGATGTTTTGTAAGATTACAAGGGGAAGAGATATTTATTTTAATAACATTATTTTATATATACAGTATATATGAATATGTTTAAAAAGTGCCAATGAATTGTGATTTTCAAACTAATTTTGAACAGCATAATATATAATTTTAAGTGTTTAACGAGATATAGAAATATATAGATAAGCAGGCACCCATCATCATCATCGCATTTTTGGAAAATTATTAAAACACTTATATAGTGTTTCTGTTTTACATAATTTATCTTGCCAGTTATGTTAATTGGGACAGATTTAATTCTCATATAAAAGGTCATGATCATAGAGGTGGTGGTAATATGAGAGAATATATCGCACTGTTGGAATAACTAATGGATACCGATCCTCATTCAGTAACTGCAATTGCTATTTCTGGTGCATCTTTAACTTATTCCATTTTCTCAAGAACCTATACTAGTCATGTGACATATCCCCGTGTTGATTTAATGAACATAGCGGGCTTTCTCTGTGATTGGTCAATTTTAAGTTGATAATTTATTGGTTAATTTTTGTATGATGATCATTAATTAAAATTTTTAAAACAATATAACGATGCTATACTGTTAAAAAGATGTTATACATTTAATGTTTATTTGAATAAAATAAGTGGAATTGTTTGTTGCCAGAAACTGCAAGAGCATGTGAAATAGATCAGAATGCAAACATTTATTATTTTATTATTACATTGCTTGTGCTGAATGAATATCTTTAGTAAAATGTGGAATTGCTTGCCGTCTATGTATGAAAAATAAAATAGATAGCATAATGGAAATTTGAAATGTTACATTAATTTTTTATATTGTGCAACGTAGCTTTACAATACACGGCAAACATTCTGGCAATAAAAAACTGGATTTGAATTGGATATGGACTTGATCTCCAATTTAGAGAAGTAACAACTATATATATACTGGTAAAATTTCAGGAGAAATGAGTTCTGTATGACATTTCGTATAACAACAACTTCCACTATGCTAAAATAGATCATATTGCAACATATACTAATTTGATCAACCAATAAAAATTGTCATATATCACATGATATGTTCGTATATACTAAAAAAAATTAAGCTCGTACATATGAGGACCGGCAAACTCCATAGATAGGTTACTGCCGAAGCTGGGTCAAATTCATCTATTATATTAAAAACGTTAGGTTCACGTGAGCGTAAGGTTTAGAATGGCGCCCACGCATAGATAATGTTTTTTGAATTGTTCAATAACGCGAACGTGTGTCATAATCTATCCATTATTGTATCGTTGGGTTACCACAAGCACGCGAATAAATATGTTGTGATGCGTAACTTTTAGACTACCACATGTAAATAATAATTTTTAAATTGTGTAATGGTGCAAATGTATATCACAATAAAATTTTGTATGTTATGCATTTGAATACTTTTCGTGACTATTACCAATTTCCACAATAAAATTTCATATATTACGCATTTTTTTACCAATTTA